CCTGCTTCATCCTCCCAAGCACCCAGCCCGCTCCACCAACAGCACCCTGCTTCATCCTCCCAAGCACCCAGCCCGCTCCACCTGAAGCCCACAGCCCCAGGTTAGCCACCTGAGGCTTCCTGCTGGCAATGGAGCTTCATCTCACGGCTAATAACCTTAAACTAAAATAGCAGTTACAGACATTCAACTTTTCCAACACCCTAGGGTTTTATTCAGCCACAGTTCACTGTACAACCCCCCACGCAAGCCTATTCACAAGCCAGAATCTGGCTTTACTTCTACTAGGCCTAATTTGGCTAGAAAAGTCTATACCAAAGGCCATTACACAAACCCAAATTTCAGCCTCCATTACCCATTACTGTGTTTACTCAGAAAGGCCTAATTAAACTCTACTCTCTCTCTCTCTCTCTCTCTCTCTCTCTCTCTCTCTCTCTCGACAGAGTCTTGCTCTGTTGCCAGGCTGGAGTACAGTGGTGCAATCTTGGCTCACTGCAACCTCTGCCTCCTGCGTTCAAGCGATTCTCCTGCCTCAGCCTCCTGAGCAGCTGAGACTATAGGCGCCTGCCACCACACCCAGCTAATTTTTTTTTATTTTTTATTTTTTATTTTTTAAATTTTTTTTTTTTGAGACGGAGTTTCGCTCTTGTTACCCAGGCTGGAGTGCAATGGCGCGATCTTGGCTCACTGCAACCTCCGCCTCCTGGGCTCAGGCAATTCTCCTGCCTCAGCCTCCTGAGTAGCTGGGATTACAGGCACGCACCACCATGACCAGCTAATGTTTTTTGTATTTTTAGTAGAGACGGGTTTTCACCATGTTGACCAGGATGGTCTCGATCTCCTGACCTTCTGATCTGCCCACCTTGGCCTCCCAAGTGCTGGGATTACAGGCGTGAGCCACCGTCCTGGCCTACTTTCTCTCTTTGTTGATCCCATCCCTTCAACCAGTAGCTATCACTAATCAGCACCTTGAAGAGGTTCCTGAGACAAAAGCCACACGGCTAATAACTAAGGCAGCCACATGTCGTGTTTGCCTGGATGGCCCCTGCCATTGCTCTGTGTCCAGGTGTGATTATTAATAGTAGCCCGTATCATAGGATGGTCCTAGTTTGGGCAATAAAATGTATGTTCCCCTCCCACTAAGTTGAGATGCAGGCACAATGGCAGGCCCTGTCTGACTCCACCTCAGATGCCGTTCTCTGTCCTGCCCTCCTGAGTCTTGAGGGTTCTGCCTTATTTCTGTGCCAAGCACTGATCCCATTCCCTGGTCCCCCAGCTCATCTGCCCAGCCTCAGGGCCCTGCATAGGCCCCTGCTTCTCCAAGCTGCCTGCTCAGTATTTCCAGACATGCTAATCCTGGGGGGGGGTGTGAGGTCTCTGGATCCTGTTTCCCCACAACTGTCCCCCTCCCTGTCATGCCTTGGGAGCCAGGTGGGACTGTGTGGCCATCAGACACTGCTTCCAGAGTGCTGTCCCTCACCCAAGGCCTGAGCACCTGCCGCCCAGGTTCCTGGGAGGGGAAGGGGAAAGACATGAGGACCTGCTGACCTGCAGGCTGTCCATGGTCGCCGGGACTGAGGGCAGGTGCAGGGAGTGACCTTGAGGCTGACTGGAATCATCTGAGTCTCCCTCGAAGTCGAACTCGTGGATGGAGAGGAGGCGCTTTTTCTTAACAGGCACAAGACAGGGGAAGACTCAAGTCAGGGCTAGCTTGAGGGAGAGGACCAAGCACCCTGCCCCTCCCCAACCCTACGCTCAGCTTCCAGGGTGGCGAGGCAGGCTTCTCTTCCAGCCCAGCCACCTCCTCCACTAGGAACAAATCCGACTGAGCCCGGAGGGGAAGCTGGTTGGTGCTCATGGTGCCCATCCCCCCCAGGACGCAGGATCTGCATCTCCAGAACCTTGGCTGAGCGGAAAGAACACCGAGCTGAACCCCTGCCCCTGCCCAGGGGCCCCACCTTGGGGGCAGGTAGGCTGTTCCAGGGCTGGGAGAGGGGAGGATCCCTGGGGCTTTGGGTAAGGGGGGTGCGATGGCTAAGTAGGGCAGAGGTGGGCAAGCTCCTGAGAGCTCCTCATTCTTTAGATGCAAGAGCCTACATTTAGTTCTAAACCCCTCCCTCATTATAATCATTTTGATCCTTTAAACTGATCTATCATGTAGGGAATATTCCAGGCACTGGAGAGCATTCTGTGAACTTCAAACATAGCATGAATGAAATGTTCTCAAGCAGAAGATGAATATGTTCCCCTCACAGCAACTGCAAAGACCTGGTTCACGTTGAATCTCACTGGCCTGTCTCTCTCCTAGCGTCTACGTCTGAACCCCTGCTCACCCACCCAGCCCCTTCCTCCAACTGCTGCCCCTTTCTGTATCCCACCCCAAAACCCAGGGGTTACAGTGCTTTTCTCTCCTATAAGTTAGACAATATGCGAACACAGGAACAAACACAAGGCTCATAGTTGGCCAAAAAAAAAAAAAAAAGAATAAAAACCCAGAAGGAGAAAACATCTCAGAGGAGAGTCTGAGGGTCCACTTTCCTGAAAGCTGCAAAGGCGGCTGCTCTCAGGACCCTGAGAGCCTTCCAGGACCCCGAGAGCCTTCCGGGACCCTGAGAGCCTTCCGGGACCCCGAGAGCCTTCCGGGACCCTGAGAGCCTTCCGGGACCCCGAGAGCCTTCCAGGACCCCTGCCTGCTCTACAGCAGCCCCCTGCACTCACTGTACCTGTGTTCCCCTGGACTCTTTCCACACACTCAGCAGGCTGTGCCCATCCACAGATGGCTTCTGAGGCTTCTGATGGTGGAAGCACTGCTCCTGCTTGGTGCTCAGTGATCTCAGAGATTACTGAGGCCTGGGAAGGGCAGCAGATTCTTGATGCTCACACAGTAGGAGCTAGTGGAGTTGTGGACAGAGCATCGAGGTTTTCAGGAAATCAGAGCCTGAGGTTTCAGCTGTGTGGAGGAATCGAGGTGGCTGAGGAGGGGGTTACTGGAGATGACTTACTTTGCTGCCAAAGGGCTGGACCTGGGCCTCTGAGTCCTGTTCTCCATCCTCATCCGTCTGCTCGCTGTCTCCACTTCTCTCTCCAGAAATTGGCTCAGGCCCAGCTGCAATAGATACCTGCATGACTCCACCCAAGGACAGCCATTCTAGAAGCAAGCCATTTGACAGTCCATACACATACCCATCCTCCAATCTATCCATCTACCTACCAACCCCTCCCTCCTTCCCTCCTTCACCCATTCACTCACCTATCCACCCAGAAATGTATCCCTCCATCTACCCATCTGCCAATCCATCCATCCACCCATCCATCCATCCATCCATCCATCCACCCATCCATCCACCCATCCATCCATCTATTCACCTACCCGCCCACCCATTTATCCACTCATCCACCCACTCAATAGGCAGCCCATTCATCCATGCATGCATGCTTGCAGGCATCCATCCATCCATCCATCCACTCACCCACCCACTTACCTATCCTCCACCCAGCTATTCATTCATCCACTCACTTAATCAGTGGCCCATCCACCCATGTATTCATCCATCCATCCCTCCATCCATCCCTCCATCCACCCACTCATCATCAATCCATCCATACATCCATCTACCCAATCAATCAGTGGCTCATCCACTCACCCACTCATCCATCCCTCCCTCCTTCATCCATGAACCCGCCCACCCATCAATCCATTTATCCATCCATCCACTCAGTCAATCAGTGGTCCATCTATCCATGTACCCACTCATTCACCTACCCATCTGCACATCCATTTACCTATCCATATATTCATCTATCCTTCCACCTACCACCCATCCCACTCTCTTTCATTCATCTACCCATCCACCCAGCTGTCCACCCATCCACCCACCAATGCACGCATCTACTCAGACATCTATCTATCCATCCACCCATCCACTTACTTACCTATCTATCCATCCATCTATCCATCATCCACCCATCCACTTACTTATCCATCCATCCATGCAGCCACCCATCTATCCACTCATTCACTTACCCATCCACCCATCCACCTACCTATTCATCCACTCATCTATCCATCCATCCACTACCCATCCCTCCCTCCTTCATCCATCTACCCATCCACCCAGATGCCTACCCATCCACCCACCAATCCATCCATCCACTTAGCCATCTATCCATCCATCCACTATCTATCTCTCCATCCACCCACCACCCACTCGCCTATCTACTTGCCCACCCATCCATACAACCACTCACCTACCACCTTAGATGCCCATCCATCCACCTATCCATTCATCCATCCATTCATCATCCATCCATCCATCCATCCATCCATCTCTCCCTCTCCCACAATCCACCCACTGACTGAGAAACATCCAGACAAGGCTCTCTGCTGGCCTTTCATAGGCCTATCCAAACACCACTTAGAGCTGGTCTGAATTACAGTATAAAAACCAGTACTCTGCATCAATGTTCCCAATCAGTTGCCAATGTTACCAATGATTGTTGCCAACAGATCTGACCATGTCTGCAGGATTGTACTTATTGGGCAGTGGAAAGACCCTGGAGCTGTGGAGTGTGAAGGAGACCTGGAACAAAGTCATGTTCTCCCAAACACATGGCTTTACCGGCAGGCTCATAGCATTTGCTGGTCAGCAGGTCTGGCCTCAGCACTGAGGGAGGGAGGTGAGGCTCAGCACTCATGCCCCCTTTCCTTTCTCTGCCCCACAGGGCTCCTTCCTCACACTGAGCTCCTGGGCCTGGCCTCCCTAGCACAGCTCACAGTCTTTTTCTCCTTTCTTCCACTCACCTTGGCCTGGCCTGTGTGGGACTGTGCCAAGCGACTCAGTAAAGGGACCCCAGGGTTTAGTGCTGGGAGGCCCCGTGGACCATCCACCTTTGTATTCCAGGGACTGCCGAGGGCACAGCTGGCACTGTGGAGCTTGGATCCTCTGGGCCCAGCCAGGCCTTGCTGCCCCTGGATACCCTTGCCCTGGATACCCCCCAGGGGCCTACCCCTGGCTCTCTGTGCCTCTGGGATCACAGGTGTGAACAAGCAGGCCTTGGTGCTTCGGAGCGAGCACTGTCAGCTGCAAAGGGCTACAGGACTGTGGGTGCAGGGCCCGGGGTGGCCTCAGAGCCACCTTCACTCTCTGCTCCGTGACGCAGGAGCTGGCCCTGCACGTCACACCTCTGCCTGGCCTGCTGCTCTCTGAGGGCTCAGCCCCCAGCGAGTGGGAGCGGGAAAAGGAAGAACGAATGTGTTCCTTTCTGGGGCTTCCAGTCCGAAGCCCTTGGCTCTGACAGCTGGTCCAGCTTCATCAGGGCCCCTGAGACACGGTCACCAGCCAGTGGCATCCCTCCCACTCCTGGAGGAAGAAAGGCAAAGAAGACTCTAGACAGACAGGCCTTCCTGGGCCCCCCTCAGCCTGTCAGCAGTAGACCCAGCCTTGCTGTATAATCCTCTTTCACACGCTGTCCATCCTTTCTTGAACTTAAGCATAAAAGTGGACAGTTTCCCTGCATCTGTGGGTCTTCATTCTGAAGGCTCCCATGTATACATGGTGAACACATTGCTATGTCTTTTGTCCAATGAATCTGCCTTTTATGAATTGATTTTTCTGCAAACTTTCAGAAGGTGAAAGCTTTTGGCTCCGAATATGCCCAGGTGATGGGGCCAGAGAGCAGACCTGGTTTTAGCTTTGTTCTCTCTGGACAGTGAATGCTGTGAAGAGACGCATCCCAAACCACCAGGCAGAGACCCTGAGGTGTGACCTCCCCCTGCACCCAGGGATGCGGAAATGGGCTTTCTGGGGCCTGGGGCCCCGCCTATCAGGGTGATGTCCCAGCCTCCACGATGAACATGAAGAGGAAGCATCCCAGGCTCGGAGATCCTTTTAGTGTTGGCCCCTGTCATCACTCTGCACTTGAACCAAGGGTTTGGGTAACACTATCCTATCTAACTAATCAAGTCATGCTAAAAAAAAAAAAAAAAAATTCCGCTTTCCTGACACAGAACAGAGATTTTCTGACAACTCTTGATAGGGAGGAGAACACAAAAATAGAGCCACACGAGCATAAAGAACTTAGTGTTGACGTCAGGTGAGCTCTCACTGCCAGGCAAAGCTACCACCAAGGGAAAGGCACGGGGAGGGAAGGTTTGGGTGTTGGGGGGCTGTGTGCTCAGTGGCCAGCCCAGAGTTTTCCTTCCTTTCCACTAAGCTGTTTCCTGCAGAGCCGGCCGGGTCTCCTGTGGAAGCCTCGGTGAGACACCCAGCACTCTGCAGGTTCACTCAGTGAAGACCCCCAGAGGCCCACCTACCAGCTGGACAAGGTCTGCATTAGGCCCTGGCTGGACCAGGTTTCAAAACCTTAACCTTAACCTTTTATGCCCTACTTTTTTTTAAAAAAGGCCCAGCTTTCCCAGTTTTTGTGTTCCTTGCTTGCGCCCTGTTTTGATGTTGTAGTTATAGGTGCCCAGCATCGGGGAACGCAGCCCCTGTGGGACTCGGGGGAGCTGCTGGGAATCCAAGTTCAAGGGACAGCTGTCTTCTGTTGCCCCACAGTGCCACCTCCTGGCCCTTGGTGGTGATGATTTTGAAGTCCGCAGGTTGGGGCGGATGGCGTGAACTCCAGCAGCTCTGGGCTGAGCATCGGAAACCCTGCACCTTCAAAATGACACAGCTTCCTGAGCCCACCCCAGTCCCTAAAAGCTGCCTCTGGGGTTGAGATTCTCACATGCTTGAGAGCATGACTTTTCCCGCTGTTACGCGTCATTTCCCTCCCTAAGCCTGGTGGGGGTGACTGGAGGCTGGACCAAGCCCCTTCGGCTGCTGGAAGACCCTTCAGTGGGCCCTGGGCTGGCCATGTGCATGTGGGGAGGTGGGATTTGCTGCTGGGCTTCATGACCGCCGTGTAGAACAGGGTGATGGCCTCTCCCCATGTCATCGGCCATTCCTAGTCACACCTGTCGTTACAGCATGTAATCAGTGGAGCCTCCTTTTACTCTTGAAAATGCCCTGGTTTGGGTGATTTATCAGACTCGTCCCCACCCCCACCCCCACTCAGGCCAACCAAGACGTGCAGCCGCCCTGTGGTGTGCGGTGTGCTCTCCAGGGGTGCCACTCGGTGGCCTCTGTCCTAAATTAAAAGCTGTGCTAAGATGCTGTGAAATGCTTGCTGCTGGGCCAGTGAGAGCTTGAATGCTCCAAGGGTGTCTATGACAACTTCTGCTTCTCCAATCAAACTTGGCTTTAAGGGACAGGCACAAATAAGGTGTCTCTCCAGAAAGAAGGCCTGGGGGAGACACCTGGGCTGGGGCATGGTGAGGATACCCCAGTCCAGAAGCACAGCCTCTGCCCTGGATGTGCCCAGCTGCTGGAGCCAGGCAGTTGCCTCCTGGCCCTGGAGAAACTCACCTTGGTCTTGCAGATGGAGTCATCCAGGACACTGAGACCCCAGACACCCAGCTTGATGGGGAATATCCCACCCAAATGCTTGTCCAGGCTTAGTAGCAGAAGCCTGGGACTCAGGTAACAGGGACAATGACCTTTCTCAAAAACACCGCTGAGTTAGCTCCCTTCAAACTCCAATGCAGAAGACTCAGGCATCCTCCCTCCCCCGCCCCCCCGAAAAGATCTCTTTCAAGTGCCTTACAGGAGGATATGATAGGCAAACACATTGTTTAGTTTAAGCCTACTGCCTGGATTGCAAATTCATCATGAGATAAATACTTGGATTCAGAAGACAAAAACAATTGAATTACAACAGATTTCTCTAAATGTTGATAATCACCAGATTCATGTGAAATGTTTGTTGAAAAGACAGAGTCTCGGCCCCAAACCAGATGTCCCAGGGAAGAAAGGCTTGGAAAACATGTAACATTAACAAGCACTCTGGCGATTCAATCAGCAGCTGCTTTCAGAAACTTGGCTTTGAGTTTTCAACTTACTTTGAAGATTTGAAAACAATACAATTTCAAATATTGGCAACTTCAACAGCACCCAGGACTTCTGAGGTGCTCTGACAAGTCCAGTGGGGTGCAGAGGTTTGCACCTCACATAAAAAGATGCCAACTTCACAGGGCATAGTGGCTCACGCCTGTAGTCCCAGCACTTGGGGAGGCCGAGGTGGGTAGATTGCTGAAGCCCAGGAGTTCAAGGCCAGCCTGGGCAACATGGTGAGATGCCTGTCTCTACAAAAATTAAATTAAAAAAAAAAGCAGCCAACTTCACATAAGATACCAGAAGGAGGAATTGACAGACAAGCGCATGCACACACGTACGTGCACACACACACACGCACACACGCACACACACACGCACACTCCAAAGGAACATGCTTTAATATTCCTAACATGCCTGGGAATAAAAGCCCTTCCCACTGTCCACTCCTTACCTCCACTCTGCAGCCGCCCACGGAGGGACTGGATCACTTTGGCACTTCCGAACCTCTTGAAGCGGGCTTTCACGTGCTCATAGTACCACTCCAGTGAGCCGATCTTCACAACTCTGCAGAGACAAGCACAGGCCCGTGGCACTGCCTGTGTGCTGCACACAGGCCTGCATAAATCACGCACACACAAGTGTGCGCATGTGTGCGTCCAGCCTTCGTCAGCTAGCCCCACTGAAGGCACACGCCAGATCCAGAAACTATCAAGGTCATTTGACCTCAAGGCTTGGGCTTACCTGGCCAGATGGCAGGGGTCACAGAGCCAGGCCTGCTCCTCTGGGTCGATGCAGCCACAGCTTTTGCAGGTGAAGAGGCCGCATTCCAGACACTGCCTTTTGCTGTTCACAAGCAGCCGGTAGGGCTGCAGGCAGTGGGCACAGTGGGTCTCGTTCAGATGGGCAGTGTCGGAAAGCAGCTCCCTCTTGGAGCTTTCCTTCTTAATCTTGCCCTTCAGCCCCCTTGGAAAGATATCAGAAACAAGAAATATATCAGACATCTTGTTTTTGCAACAGGCTTTAAATGTGTACATGTACACACACACACACACATGCATACAAACACATGCACACATACACACAAACAGCAACTGTTTCCTATGCAGAAAACAGTGACCCAAAGTTGGGCAAAAGTACACAGGCATCTTTGTGTTGAGGGCTGAGCTCAAACGGGCAATTTTCATAGGCTGGAATGGATTGGAAACACGAGATTTCATAGAAATGACATTGAATTTAAGCCTTTCTGTGGCTGTTTACAATCGTACCAATTTTGGTCAACAGGTTACTGTACCCTCCCCACGGCGGTCACGGAGTCCTGAGGGCAAAGCCAGATGGCAGTTCCTGATCAAGCAGTTTTGGGTCTCTTCCAGCAGGGGGGCAAGAGTTGAGCTAATGCCCAGGTTTGCTCCCCTAGAGCGCAGATGAAATGGCTCAGCGAGTTTCCAGAGCAGCATTCATCCAGCATCGGGAAGTCCCAGTAAAACCACGGTTCTCCTAGACCATCCGGGTTTAAATAACACACAGCTTCCTGGTGAACCTGCCAAGTTGAACTTATTGGAAAATGTACCCTTGGATGATAATGAAAACGTTTCTTTTGTTCTAGATTTCAGAGAATGTCTGCCAAACGTAATATTTTCAGCTTCAGATGACATAAAATTAATCCATTCTTAGTGACAAAAACAAGAAGGACACTAGGTGCCATTGTCTCGTGAGAACTCTGAAGTGCACCGATTTTGATGGGGACACCCAGAGTGTGACAGAGGTGAGGAGAGTGGAGGGATCCACGAGGTGATGGGAGGCCATCTCAGGCTGCAGGAGTTTCTCTTAAATAACAGCCCAGAGGAGTCCTGGGCAGCAGCTGGAGCTTGATCTATTTCAGGGGCTGACACTGGGGGAAAGGATAATAATACTCTGCTTTAGATTCTGTAAAACATAACCTCCCTTCTTCATAGCCAGAGACTAGGAAGGGAAGGCAGAGAAGACCCCATTTGGGGAGAACAAATGACACCTGCCAGCCACTCCAGGACACATCAGCCAGACCCGCAGCTTCAGATCCTGAAGGGTGAACGGGGCCGGAGCAATCACGCCCTCTGCTTACTGGGTTGACTAGAAGTCACTCCTCAACAGGCAAAAGCCCAGCATCCGGCTCCAAGTTAAAGTTAGCTTCACGAATAAAAGACCCCCCCGAATGTGACTTATCATCAGAAACAGACTTGAAACAAGTTGGCTTGGTGTGCTGAATGGGGCATAAGAAAGTTCATATAGTCTCGATGAGAGGGATGGAGGAGACGCAGGAGGAAACCAGGCTGAGACGAGAGACCCACTGGCTCTGCTGGTGGGGGTGGAGAAGAGCTGGTGGAGACAGAGACGGCAAGGAGTCACAGCCACAGTGGAGGAGCCGTGGGCACGATCTCTACCGGGGAATATTAGGCCCAACGATTTCAAATAGTGATCTTCCAGGTGGTCCATGGACCTCTCCTCTGGAGGTTCCTAAGATCCTTTAGGGGGTGGGTCACAGGCTAAAGCTATTTTTGTAATGATACTGAGACATCTTTGCCCTTTCTTTGCTCTCGGACGCCTGCACCAAAGGTGTAGAAACACTGGTGGGGCTGGGCAAAGTGGCTCATGCCTGTAATCCCAGCACTTTGGGAGGCCAAGGCAGGCGGACTGCCTGAGCGCAGGAGTTCACAATCATCCTGGGCAACACAGTGAAATCCCTATCTACTAAAATACACAAAGTAGCCGGGGGTGGCGGCATGCGCCTGTAATCCCAGCTACTCGGGAGGCTGAGGCAGGAGAATTGCTTGAACCTGGGAGGTGGAGGTTGCAGTGAGCCGAGATTGTACCACTGCCCTCCAGCCTGGGTGACGGAGCAAGACTCTGTCTCAAAAAAAAAAAAAAAAATGGTGAGTAAACCACTGAGGCTTTAGCCGGAGTCAGAGCAGCGGTCCCAACTGTGCTACAGTCATTGTCTGCTTCATTGAAAAAGAGACGAGCCAGTTGTGGCGTGGCTCATACCTGTAATCCCAGCACTTTGGGAGGCCAAGGCAGGCAGATCACCTGAGGTCGGGAGTTCAAGACCAGCCTGGCCAACATGGTGAAACCCTGTCTCTACTAAAAATACAAAAATTAACCTGGCATAGTGGTGCATACCTGTAATCTCAGCTACTCAGGAGGCTGAGACAGGAGAGTCGCTTGAACCCAGGAGGCAGAGGTTGCAGTGAACCAAGATTGTGCCACTGCACTCCAGCCTGGGTAACAAGAGCGAAACTCCGTCTCAAAAAAAAAAAAAAACAAAAAAAACCAGAAAAAGAAATGAGAGGAAAAAACAGTTTCATTTAAGAACCACCTTGATGAAACACTGAAAGTTACGTCTTTCTGAACCATGGCCCCAGTCCGTGTATGATGAGCATGCAGTAGTACAGAAAGCTCTTCTGTCACATGTTGAAAAGTGACAGATATTTCTATCAAAGGGACGGGGCAATTGTTCAGATTGCAACCTGAGCTAGAAACTTCTCATGAAATGCCATTTCCACTTGAGAGAACAACTGAGAGATGAACTATTTCGACTTGGTATTTGGCAGATATTTTCTCAAAAATGAACAAAGTGAGACTCTCACTTCAAGGAAAAGAAGTGACAGTATTTATTGCCAGTAATAAAACGAAAGTTTTCAAGCACAAAGTAGGGTTTTGGAAATCACATATTCCCTGCTGTGAGCTTGACAGTTTCCAACACTGGGAGGTTTTTGATGAGATGCTGGTGAGAGCAACAGAAGTGATTCTCTTTTGGTATGCACATGAAATGTGTCAACATTTGAGAAGTCTGCATAACTCAGTGAGCCAGTGTTTTCCAAATGATTAATGCATAGTGTTACAAAAATCATACAGGGGTAGAAAATCCATTTCAAGTGCAAGGGAGACCAATGGATTTCAACAAACAGAAAAGGAAAAGTTTGTTAATATGGCTTCAGATTCCACATCGAAATTAACCTTTAAGAAACTACCAACTGGCTGGGCACGGTGGCTTACACCTGTAATCCCAGCACTTTGGGAGGCTGAGGCAGGCAGATCACCTAAAGTCAGGAGTTCAAGACTAGCCTGGCCAAATGGTGAAACCATCTCTACTAAAAATACAAAAATCAGCCAGGCATGGTGGAGCACGCCTGTAGTCACAGCTACTCAGGAGGCTGAGGCAGGAGAATCGCTTGAACCTGGGAAGCAGAGGTTGCAGTGAGCCAAGATCGCGCCACTGCACTCCAGCCTGGCAACAGAATGAGACTTTGTCTAAAAAAGAAAGAAAGAAAGAAACAAAGAAAGTAAGAAACAAACAAACGACCTACTGCCAGGCTTTCATGTTGTTACAAAACATAATGTTTATTATCTGCAAACGCTATTCAAATACTCCTTTTTTCAATTACGTGTCTGTGTGAGCCTAGATTTTCTCCGGCTACTACAGCCCAGACAACGTGTTACAACCCACGGAGTATAGGAGCAAGCAGAGAACTCAGCCATCTTCTGTTGTTTCAGACATCAAAGGGATTTGCAAAAATAGAACAATACCACTTGGCTTACTCATGATCTTGTTTTGGGAAAATCTCACTTTTTATAAAAATTGTATTTATGTTAACATGAAGAGGGTTTACTGTTATTTTAAAATGAGTGAATACATAAACATTTTTAACCTCCCAGTTTTAATTTCTGATATGGTAAATATTAATAGATATGACCTGTATAAGTAAAACTCTTTGGGGTTCTCAGTAATTTGGGAAATGTAAAGGGGTCCTGAGGCCCAAAGGTTCGAGAAACGCTGATTCCGAAGTCAAGTTTGCTCTCCCCAGAATGCGAAGAAAAGGGAGGAAGTGATGGGAGAGAGTGGGGAGATGGTGGGAAAGGCAGAGAAGGTGAGCTCCCCGGTGACGCGGAGCCCTGGAGACGAGCTGCATGGAGTGGAAGGGAGGTTCTGTCCTCGTCCTGGGGGCCGCATGGAGTGGAAGGGAGGTTCTGTCCTCCTCCTGGGGGCCGGGGAACCCACACTCCTGTCCTCTGCATTCCCATCTCCGGGTGGCCCTGGGACACCCTGCCGAGAGCTGTGACTGGTGGGGCAGAACACAGCCGAGGGGAGACTCCTGCCCTCAAGGGAGGCCAGGCGGCCTCTGAGGAAAGGGCGTATACTGGGGAAGGAAAACGCTTCCAGGATGGGAAGAGAAAGGGAAGTCCGCTTCTAAGATGGGGTCTGGGTGGAGAGGTGAGCCTCGCAGGGTGAAGGGGTCAGACCTGTGCCCTGCTCTGCCCCTCTTGAGGTGGAATCCAGACAGGCGTGTGTGGCGACATGCAGGAGTACTGGGGGGAGCCCGGGCTGGCGGGGCTGGTGGCCACCATTGTGGGCACAGCAGGGGGACGCTCCTACTGTGGCCTTCCTCGAGGTCCAGCACACAGGCCTGGGGAGAGCCTGCGTGAGGGGCTTGCATTGGGTGCTGGGGTGGTGGGGAGTCCACATCCTTACGGTCCTCAGACCACGCTCCCGCAGGATGGCACGAGGTGTGGGGCATCCAGGGGACTGCAGGGGCTTGGGGTTGATGGAGAGGCTGTGGCACATGGCTGGGATCACGGTCTCAGTGTTGGGGCCACCTGCATCTCAGTGCCCGGCCAGGACCCTTCGTGTACCAGCCAGTGGTCCCCATCCTGCAAGCCAACCTGCCCTCCATTCTGCATCCGGAGGTAGGGACAGTGTGCGGAGTCCAGGCCCCATCAACCCGGCCACTGGGAAGGCCATGAGCCCTTCCTCCAAGGCTCAGCTTCTGGCCTGGCCAAAAGCAGGGGTTGGGGAGCAGCGATGGGGTAGTGGGGAGCTCTGGGAGAGAAGCTGAGCCAGGAACAGAGACCCGGTAAGTGAGCAGCGTCCAGGAGATCCGAAGCACTGAAGCCTGCACTCTCTTGCTGCTCAAGGGCTGGGGCCTCACGAA